CTGTTGTAGAAGGGCACCTAGAGCGTCATAGAAACTGTCCTTGGCAGATTCAGAGCTACAGTCAGTTGGGGCGTAAGCAGAAACAATAAACAAGGTGCGATGAACCTCACTTCCTCTAGGTTCTCTCACCGATGTTGCCAAACGAACCGCACAGAGGCGACTGTCAACGGGTATCCAAGGAGAGACGCTTCCGCTCGTTCGCTCAATACAGTATTTACTCCAGCATATCCAGCTGCAGCGGCCTCTGCATCACCAGAGGTGCGCAGCCGGAACCTGGAAGAGAGCGAGGGGCAGTCAGTTCGATCACAGTACTTGCGTCCTGCGTCCTTGGTTCTGACAAACAACATCTATCAACGGAGAGGAAATCCAGTGTACGCGCAAGAGCCACCTGTTGACCTGTTTGCTTCAGTGGCTAAGCAGGTTTTCGGCGTTGGGAAACAGACTTCGAAGTGCTTAGATTTGTGGCTGAACTCAGACGTGATGAGCGTGATGCAGGGCGAGCAAAACGGCCCGTCTTAGAGCTGGGACCTGCGGAGAAAGTATTCAGATTTGGGCAGAGGAGGGCGAAGGACGGAAAACGTGAATGTGTAAGAAGGGAGGCGTCAGCAGTAGCATGTTTTCGCTTACCCGCCCTGCTGTATGCAGCAAGAAGGCAACCCCCAGTCTCTTCGTGACGGAGGCGCGGTGCGCTGACCTGGACATTAGTAGAGAGTCAACGCCGTAAAATAAACGAATTACCTGTAGCACCCTTTCAGTGACTAGCTGCCGTGCCACCCGAAGGAAGCACGAGGGCCGAGATACCACCAGGTTACCCAATCCCAGACATGAGCAGCCGGGGTTAAAGTGGGGTTTCAACTACGGGCGTTCCGGTCAGTAAGTCGTCACGTTAATCACAACCACCTCGAATCAGTGGAACGTGCTATTTATTGAGGTCTTGGGGTCAGTAATTTCCTAGCACGCCACTGAAAAATATTCTCAGCGTCAGTTTGAAGTATGCGCTTGTGGTTCGGGGAAGTTATGGCATCCCGCAGTTTGTTATCGGAAGGTGAGGAAAAACTATCGAAATCAGAAAACTGTTTGTCAGAGACAAGCTTCTGTTACCGAATGCCGTGGGACGACTTGGGGAGCGCAGTTTGGCTGTGTTCGGTGATTCGTCTAACAACTACGTACGACCAGGTCGTCTGAGGCTGTGACGGAAATTCGTTATGAACATCATAGCATGCTTGCCTGCTGGATTTCAGTTGTTAACGGTGAGCTTTGCTCACCTGCTGTAAAACATACCCGTTCTCAAGTTACCTCGTTACGAATTCGTCAACGCCATTCGACACCAGAAGCGCTTTTGAGGTATCGGTTTTCATAAACTTGAAGACGCTCTACATCATCTCTCTACAGATGCCATGTCTCGCAACCACATAACGATACAGCCTGGTACATGTGGTCCTTGAGACTCAGTGGTATGCCTCTTTCACAGCACGAGTGACCTTAGCTAACAAACGTGATTTGGGTCTTTGGGGTTCGTGTGCCAATTTCATCAAGCACAGTTTCACAAGAGCTGACGCATCTGTCGAAGTATATAAAATTTTCCATACTCTCCGGCGGTTCTCCTTGAATTGTGAGCAGTAAGTTCAGAGATTCTGAAGCATAAAAGTCCACTTTGAATGTACAGGGTGTATGGTAACTGGCAGTATGATAGAGGTCAGTTTATTTAACGCAGTTTGTAGTTGGCCTTCTCTTTAAAATGAGGACGATGTCGTCCGACTCCACACAGACAAAAGTCTTACGAGGAACAATCTGAACACTGGAGTTTCGAGGGCTTTTCGGTGCTCACTCCATTATTTCATTGACGAGGTTGAACAAGAGTGGAACTAGTGGGCATCCCTGTCGTTCACCACTTTTTATAGAGGAGCTAGCTTCCCATACACTCCCCCAAGTATGTAAATATAAGGACCGGATTATGTTCGCGAACTTCCCCTGTTGAGCTTTTATGGCTAAGGGCACTGACCGGTCGACAGAATCGAATGCACCTTTGAATGGTAAACTACGTCCACTCTATCAAAAACCCTCTCGTAATCACCTCATTCCGAATTGGTTTGTTCCAACCAACTTCCATCCATAGTCTGGAAATCCAGTGTTCTGAGATACGAACGTGGACAGGGCCGAATCTCGCAACTTCAGGATAATACGGGTGAGATGGCCCAAGTGGTAAGAGCGTGAATTAACTGACCGGAATCGGAATCCGACCTCCGCCTCTCGACTTCCCCTGTCTAGGCTTGGGCAAATTGGCAGTATCTCAGCCCTCGTGCTTCCTTCGGTTGGGATGGCAGCTGGGCATCGGAAGGGTACTACAGCTGGACGCTTTTTTTCAGGACAATACAGCACTGCAGTTCAATATGGGCGTTATTTTAGACCCAGAAATGTCATTTTGATCACACTAGTGGCTCAAATGGTTGAATATACTTATGATCTTTGAGATTAGCGTGTTGACACTATCTAACAAACTACCGTCTCAGCTGGTGCATTTTTCGAGATGCATATAGTGTTCCACAACTGACGTCTTAGAGGCATGTTTAAAGACTGTACGCCCCGCAGCAGGAATATGCACTTTGTGAGGACGAAGCGTGTGCCAAAGGACTGGATGAACTTCGTCAGTTTTTTCTTACAATGCTAGCATTGTTCTGCAAACTTGAAAACATCGCCTCCGCATGTTCCAGGTTGATAGGGTTCTCGGTCGGAGATATCTGAACACCGGGATTTCGGAAACCTTTCACTGTTCTTTCCATTGCCTCATCAAGGCTGAAAGTTAACAAACAGTAAGAGAGGGGACATCACTGACTGTAGGAAAGATTTTGGAAAGCTCCCCATACATACTCTCACAAGTATGTGAATAAAAATAGCGCATGATATTCACGAACGTCTGAGGCATGCTCTGTTGCGCAAGTGTGTTGGGAAGAACTCACTGGTCAACAGAATTGAACGCACTCCGGAAGTTAGGGAACACCGAGATTGTAGGGCACCAATGCGCATGTCGTTAATCTAATGCCTGACAGAGTGTGAAGATGTGGTCCATACAGCGCCTTCCCAGGCGAAATTCCGCTTGATGTTTTCGGGTCCCGTTTTCATGCTTCTTCATGAGCAAGACAGAGTACGGTTACAATGAGGGTCAGGCTACGTTTCTAATTACCACACCTAATTTAGCACCCATTTAGAAAATGGGCGCCACCGTCGACTCGCTCCAGATAGGGGCAAATAAGTTTAACAAACAACCTCTGGGGATTTGGCGTCCACCTTTAAACAGGGCGGTTGTGAGTTCTTCAGTATCAGTAACTCAGTGACGCTTGAGAGACAATTGATTGGGTTATTTCCGAAGCCGTCAGGTGTTTCGGTTTCACCCTCCGGGGCTGAGTTGTGGTCGGGAATCCGTCAAAACACCTACAGGTGACTATTAGGCTTGTTGTTGCAAGTGTTGAACCCAGTAATTCGGATGCTGTCCTTTTAAAATGTAAGCAAGCCGTTGTTTTCGCCTAAGTCCTCCTTGTGCATATTTATTTTCTTCCACTGTTAGTTCGTTTTAATGGATTATCAGTTAAATAAGCCAAACCTTCGGTTTCTTCACATTTTTTCGTTTTACATGCCGAGAACTGTGAGTTTTGAAGGCGCCGATGGGTTGGGTTATAGCATTCTTGTGCGTTACTGGTGTGTCTTAGCTGATATGTTCAAGACGGGACTCGACATGGACTGGACTCGGCACGTACAGACATTGGGGAACGATTGCTCTAGCTGTGTGCTGATCGCAGGCTGTTTTTATGCAGTACGGACTTCTGGAATAGCCGAAGTCGTCTGGCCGCATAGTGTCCTCCAACGAAAGGCCGGCCACAAACTCAAATCGACCACATTGCCATCAGTTACCGATGGCGCGTATCCATAACTGACTGCCGGTCGTTTTGGAACACCTTTGTGGACTCTGACCACGCGCTCGTCCGGAGTCGCTTCTCCCTACGTTTCCCGGGGCCGCGTAAGGTGAGGACAAATCGCATGGCAGACCCGGATGTCAGCCGAACTTACGAGAATCGTCTTCTAGAGTCTCTTCCAAGTGCTCCACCATCAGATGTGAACTCATACTGGGACGAG